CGGAATAATTTGTGACAGCAAAAAAACTCCATTTAAAAGACGCCGACCTATGTTTTGTGTCTTGGAAAGAGTGTTGGGAAATATATATTCACAGGGTAATCTACCTTGTAGATTGTCGATTTAGTTCATAATATGAAGACTTGAAAAAAGGTTGGATGGGAAAGTTTTTTTTCTAGGGTCGGTCGGGAAACAGGAAACAAAATATTTTTCTGCTAGGCCCACTTGCTGTGACGTCATGGCAATCAGAGGTAATGGCCCAGACCCCGACATTTTACAATCTACGAATGACTATTCTCTAAAATAAAATTCAAAATACTTTGTTGAAAGTAGAGTAGTAAATAGAAAATGTAGAGCAGTAAATAGAAAATGTGGGTACACTTTGTCAAGAAAACTTTAATAAGAAAACGAAACTAGTACATTCAATTCATACAAACCTAACGCTAACTAAAGCGTACAATCACTACTGAATGTTAGTTGCTGGCTACGTATATCGTCTAATTGATACCATTTAAGTTAATCCGATAATAAATAGCAACAAAACAATTAAGTATGGCTAACCCAACCGAACAACAATGTAAAAAGATAACAATACCGTGGGTGCTGTACAACGTATTAAGATTAATTAACTAAAGAAAAACAAATTTAAGTTTTAGCATTTGCTCAAAACTATGTTATATTTTGTAGGTTTTAAAATTATACATATGCCAACTTACAAACAGAGTCAACATGCTAAAAAAACTAAATAGATCCCTGGAACACTAATTTTCTATTTGGATCTTTAATATTTTATTCTACTATAACTAAGAAAACTGATTAATTTATATCACCTATAACAGAAGGGATGTTTCCAAAAACAAAGGGATTCACGGTGGTCAAATCTGGGCTGCAAAGTTCCCACATTTCATAGAATCCGAACTGTGTTCGATCGTGTTCGATCTGGGCAATTCGAATCGAACCCGCGTTCTATTTCGGGGTCACCTGCGGTCATTTACAATAAAGCGGCAAAACAAGCCCTTCTGCCTGAGTGCCTCGCAATAGATAAAAAAACAACACTTTTCTATAGGTACAAAGAGTTTCCTGGACAGTACATGTCCGCTATAATTTTTGGTGGGTATGTAACATGTAGCGAAGCTACTGTCGTATCCTTGGGTGACCTTGAATACTGTAATGATTCTTTACGCCAGTATGAATAACACAATGCACAATTTCTGGCGATATGACATGTCTCCAAAACTCGTTCAAACCTGGAAACATGGAGAGTCAAACATACCCCATTTACGGCTCAAAATGACTGTAACGATTGTCCCGAAAATCGTGTTTTAGGGATTTTTGAAAAATGGACCTCAATTTTGTAAATTTATGGGTAATTTAGTGAGAAAAATGTCAAAAATGCCATTTTTTCACCAATATGTCGACAAAAACTAGACTTAAAATCAGAAATTAAAAAATCCCTAAAACACGATTTTTTATCTTATTCCTAGTCTGCGAAAAATATAAAAATCGGGGATCTGGGGTAATATACGTAGCCAGGTTTGAACGATGTTTGCCTAAAAACGTGACATGACTTGTGCTCGAAAACCCGAAAATAATCGTCTTTCTGAGCAAAATTTTTAAAAATCAGTGATTTAACATAAAAAGCTAACATTTAAAGGACGTTAAGACGATAATTTCATTTTAATTTGACGAAATTTACCCCTAAATACCATTTGTTTATTTTCAAATATTTTACGGGTAGTCCAAAACAGCGTCTTGTAACCCGATACCTTTTCGAACGCGCATAGCAATGGGAAAGAATGCCGTAGTAACAGACCGCCGTGATTACACATGTATATGCCAAAAAAAGGCAACAATGACTAAAGAAATGAACAATATATATCATGTATACGTATGTATACAATCAAAATGAATCATCTGATACTCCCTTAAATGAAGAAAGAAAAGAAATAATCTAAATCAAACAATTTGCGACTACTGAACCTACTATGATATTAGTGATAGTCTTTTAGTTAACTTCCTATACTGCTATATCATAACATCGAACCTGTAGGCTTTCTCGCCTTCATGCAGTGTCTTTGGCACATCTTACACAAGAAAGGTCCCCAGATTGTGCGTCAAACTGTTTTATAACATAACTTGTGGCCCTAAACAGCATCCCACAGTCTTCATTTCTACTGGTTCCCTCCTTTGTGGGTCTGCACGTGCCTGCTATAATTACTTTGGTCCCTAAACTGCCTGCCGCACTCCTCACACCTGTAGGGTTTCTCACCAGTATGAGTCCGCATGTGAGTCTTCAGACTACCTAGCTGACTAAACTGTCTGCCGCACTTTTCACATCTATAGGGTTTCTCACCTGTGTGAGTCCGCATGTGTTTCTTCAGACTTCCAAGCTCACTGAACCGCCTGCTGCATTCCTCACACCTGTAGGGTTTCTCCCCTGAGTGAGTCCGCATGTGAGTCTTAAGATTACTCAGTTGACTGAACTGCCTGCCACACTCCTCACACCTGTAGGGTTTCTCTCCTGTGTGAGTCCGCATGTGTGTCTTCAGATCAACCAGCCGAATGAACTGTTTGTTACACTGTTCACACTGGTAGTAGGCATGTCAAACTTTCCCGCTCCGGCATTGGAATGCGGGGGCGCGCGAGGCAGTAAATATTTTTAAACGATCGTAAAAAATCAACCGTTTGTATTATGCCAATAAAAATCGTTACCAACAATGTATATGATGTCAGCTATCGTGCCATAGTATTTTTTCTTGAAAATATGGATCAATAAAGGAGCTAAAAATCAGCAAAGTTGACAATACGGCCGAAAATCAGCCCCGTTCGGACGCCGCGAACGCGGCACGCTATTTTGAAGCCAGCCGGCGGAGACGTCTTCTTCCACTCAAAAGCCACAAACCGCTCGGGCTCGTAGAACTCTGGGAATGATTTGATGTGAAAGGGCAGAGTTCAGGGTTCACGACAGCGGTGGGACGAAATCGCTACGTCATCGCTGGCGGGAGGTACGAGTCAATGAAGTGAAGCGTCCAAAAGTATGTGGAAAATTTTGCTATTTTTCTGAATTTAACAATTTTGTCCGCCCATAGCAACAAATATAGACACCTTGTGGTTATGTTGGTGTAGTTTTTGTTTCATTTGAGGCGAGTTTGAGCTGTGGGTTTAGCGAAACATTTTGTTAGTTTTTCCCGGCCGCCAGAAAAATGGTGCGTGCAATGCGCGCGGCCGTGAGGGGAGGGGGCGTTAGATCGCGAACGTTGTCGGTTTAATTTAACCTATATTGATAATAAATTCCGCCGCTCTTTAGTAATATATTTAATGGGTAAGTGTGTTACACTTTTAATTTACGACAATGTGGCATATTTTGGACGAAAAAAAACTTTGGCCGGATCATCGATCATGAGCTTCTCATTCAGTTGCATGGTCTTTATAAGACTTTATTCAGACATATCGATTCTTTTTTTCTCAGTGACATACCCTGGGAAGTTGAGCGAAGCATTAGGACTATCTCTAAGCCACCTTGAGGGTGACATACCAGTGAGTGCCCCTTTGGGTAGAGAAAATTGTCAAACGAGCTTGTGCTGGAGCTTTGCTCATTCATCAAGAAATCTGGACTCAGAGATGAGACAATTATCAAATGGCTAAAAAGTATTGCGCCGTCGGACCTTAAAGAGAAACTAACACATGCAAATGGAACAAGTGTTCGCACTCACATCTACAAATTGAAGAAAAAGAGAAGGGACCTTGTGATGAAGAAGAAAACAAAGGAGTTACAGATCTTGATGGCAAAGATGTTTGAAGGCCCCAAACCACTACAAACAAGATGCACAGGCAACATCAACATCAGTAACAGCAAAGCTGTCGGTACTAGTACATGCTCGTCCAGTCCAGTTGTACCACTACCTGCTACCCATCTGAAATCTTTAAACAGATTGATAAACTTTTCGCGGGACTTGGTGAAGGAGAACAACACATTGGAAGATACATTAGAAACATTGTCAGGGGAGTACGTGAAATGTTTGTCAGAGATGAAACAGAAGACAGCGGAAATCCAAGACTTAAAGGAAAGCATGAAGGAGCAAACACGGATGAGTAGAGAGGAAAGAATGAAACAAAACACTCTACTGCTTCAGTTGGGGAAAGAGTCAGAAATGACATACAGCCGTTTACAGAATGCTTTGGTGAAACTGAGCGAGTACAATACTCGCAATGTTAACAAGCGTCTTAAACGAAGAGATGAGAAAATCAAAGCACAGGAGAACAGGATCAAGACACAGGAATCAAACTTACAAGAGAAAGACTCTTTGATCAGAGAAAAGGATGAAGAGATAGAGGAGTTGAAGTCTATGGTTGATGTGCTGCAGGAGCAATTAGACAATGAAATAAAGAACAAGATTCACGCACAACGGATAAAATCTCACTACAAAATCGCAATGAGATCTCATTCGTTGTGTGATGAAGATACTGTAGATTTAGAAGAGAAGATAGCAAACCTAAAAGCAGAGAACAAGGAATTACATGATAACATGACAAAATTCCTTGATTCTGATGAAGTGAAAACTTTTGAAGATGGTAGGTTTACCACTGATGTTCGACAGGTTTACATGATGTTACTTAGTATGGACACTGGACTTAACAATGTGGAATGGATCATAAGGACTGTACTGCAGAAGTTAGGAGGTCTCAAGTGTGGTAGGTTACCAAAATACTCCACAGCGCAAACCATGTTTGCTGAAGCCAGGCGACTTAGCCAGATGCATGTAGCTGACGTTGTCAGTAAATCTGATAACATCACTGTGGGTACGGATGGTACCACAAAGAAACATGACAAATTTGGATCGGTGAGTTTTTTCACTCAGCAAGGACAGTTAGTGGCAGGAGTTACAGAGCAGCTGTCTGGAAAGACCGAGCACCAAGTGGACATGTTCAAAAAGATAATGCATGATCTGGCAACAGCATGTGGGGCAAGTGAAGAGGAGATGTGGGTGTCCATAAAAAACACGATGACTGATAGGCATGTGGTAAACAAGTGCCTGAACAGAAAACTAGAGGATATTAGACAAGAAGCTTTGCCAAAGGTAGTGAAAGATTGGGACAAGAAGTCTCCCGAAGAAAAGGATGCGATGAAGAATATGTGGAACCACTTCTGTAGCATGCATTTCATAGTTGGCTTGGCTACATCGGCAGAAGCAGGACTGAAAACATTTGAGAATGCATGCACGTGCACAGATCACAGTTCCTCAGGTGCCACAGGGGCAGAGACGTTCTTCCCATCACAAGGAGAATCAGGAGCACATAGGCTAGTTAGAGCCGTCTGCAAGGCATTTTCGCATACTGGAGCCTGTGAGAAGTCGGGACACCCCAAAGAATTTGAGGCCTTCTTGCAGTCCTGTGTCCCTGCCAAGGTCAACAAACTGATCTCCTTCAGAGGAGAGAGATTCAATGTTCTATTCAAAAATGGTGGGGCAACATACCACCATAAAGACGACTTGTTAGCATACCTCGACACGTGCGAGGCACCTAACAGACTCCTACAGGCTGTTCGAGCAGACCTCAGTGTTCCTGTGTATGTAGCAGGCTGCTGTGCACTGGGTATCATCAATAAGATTGTAACAGCTCCTCTCTGGAGATTGGTAGAATCTGAGAGCAGCATACTGGACATGTGTCAACATTTCCACCAGTTACACATCAGCTTCAGTTCTTTCATAAAGGATCCAAGCTCACTGATGGAGGGGGAAGCAATATTCCCTTCAGTGCAGGGAGAGGATGATGATGTTTACAAGTCACTGTTCTCGCATGATGATCCTGAAATCAAAAGGCTGACTTGTCAGGCACTGAAGAATATCATGACTGAGTTTGTTGTCGTTACCGAGAGAATGCTGAAAGACTACCTTCCAGGGGGAATCTTCCACAACCCAACAGAAGCACAGAGAGAGGAGATGGCTACATGTCCCACAAACAACACTGGTCTGGAGCGAACATTCGCGCATTTGGACCGGGACGTCAGGTTTTCACCAAATGCTACGACCCTGACAAGAGAAAGCAAGATAATGTTCCGCTTAAACAGAACAGGACAGTACCTGGACACCATACCCATGGAAGAGAAACATACCGTCTTTAAGGAAGCAAGGAAGGCTGCACGTACAGACAGGAAGCTTCACCAAGAGGAGCAGAAGCAGCTGAAGCAGCATCGTCAGGAGTTGTTGCATGCAAGGATACAAAAAAAGACACTGAAAAAGGCTGTCAAGGAAGCAGCACTTGAGGCATTGAAAAGTACTGTAAAACAGCTCGGGCTATGGGACTCAGCAGAACAGATAGAGGCTGGGCTGTTGAAACTTGTCACCAAAAAGTCTAGGATGCTGGCACTGAAACAACAGATTAAGTTCAGGAAGGAAGTGCTTGGTGACCGTGTTCATAACAAGTCCTTGTTTCAGTTTTCAAAGGGGGGAAAGGCGCTTAAGGAGAATGACTTAAAACAGAACTTACTGATACTAGTCAGAAAGTGAGTTAGTATCTGAGTCTCCTGTGAGGAACTTGTACCAATTAGACATTCATAATATTTGTTAACACGGCCAATACTAGTTTGATGCTCAAGTACATCTTGCAGGCAATTTATTAATATCATCTGAATTGAAATGCACATATGACAATAAGGTATTAAAAAGCCTTAGCAGGTAAAATATAGGACTCTAGTTATTAATTAGCATATTTGTTAATTGCAATTGGATATTAAAAGTTATTTAAAGCTGCAGTTACATTTATACACCTTGTTCAAGTAAGCCAGGTACATCATTGAGTTGCATTACTAACAGCCAATGTATGTGGCTATCATTAACAATGTATACATTTCATTACATCTGACTCATTAGCATATTGCTAATTAGCATATCTTTAATATGTTAATATAATTCAATAATAAGTTGATATATATATACATTTTCCTGTTGTAATGGGATATACTTAGGTCAACATGCAAGCAGGTTAACACTTGAAATGTATGTTAGGAACAGATACATTGGATGTAGACAGTATAATACAAATCATACAAAAATTGGAAAATATTCGAGAATAATTAAGCTCATTTGCATATTTTGCAATTAGGGAAGACATTGCAAAAAAATTCATATTCTTTAATGTGAATTTAACCGGAATGTAGGATTCAGAAAGTTGCCACTGCAAGCCCCTTCTACAATTTGTAGCATACTTAGAAAAGCAGCTCACTCATTGGTTGAATGACACTATTGTGCATGAGTAATTAGTTCGGGCTAATGTGCATAAGGTAATTAGCATATTGTTGATTGAAATAATTGTTAGTTAATTAAGAATATGAATATTACAGTTTGTTCAAATGTCAACAGGTTACTTTGACATTTTATTAGACATTATACAAAGAAAAGTGACATGTATCCTGATATGTATATCATATGTTGGTAATTAGGCTTATTTGCATATTTTGGTATTAATCATCCTCAATAATATGCTTTATTTACTTCTAAAGGGAATTTAGGACCACAAAATGCCTTTCTAGTATAGAGTTCTGTTCACAATTTGTAGCTTTTGTCACAATTTGTAGGAATCTCGTTACCCATAAAAATGATGTAATTATGGCTAGATGTAATAATTAGCCTAATTAGCAAAAATGTGTAAACTTTCGTATGTAAAAAGATGAAATTAAAGACCTTTGTGGCAAATTGTTTGATCCTAATATGCTGAAAATTTGAAGATTGTAGCATGAAAAGTTTAAGAGTTACAATAAAATGTATGTCAAATATTGTTGATTTATGGTCTCATTTGGTGCCATGACTAATTAGCTTATTCCCATAGGACCAATAGTTAAGCATCTTCCAATGAAAACGTCAAAATCGTAAACTTTAAAAAATTCTAAAAAATCTCAACTTTGTCCAATTTTTATGCGAAAGGAAGCATTCTGACCGGAAAAATCTACTCTATAACATGGAATTATTTTTAATAATCCTTGGCGCCCCCCTATTTTTAGTGTGACATCCCTACTGGTAGGGTTTCTCCCCTGTGTGAGTCCGCATGTGATCCTTAAGATGACCCAACTCAATAAACTGCCTGCTGCATTCCCCACACCTGTAGGGTTTCACCCCTGTGTGAGTCCGCATGTGAGTCTTTAGACTTCCCATCTGACTGAACTGGCCGCCACACTCCTCACACTTGTAGGGTTTCTCACCAGTGTGAGTCCGTATGTGTGTCTTCAAAGCACTAAGATACCTGAACTGCTTATTACACTCCTCACACCTGTAGGGTTTCTCCCTGTGTGAGTCTGCATGTGAGTCTTCAGATTACTCAGACTGAACTGCCTGCCACACTCCTCACACCTGTAGGGTTTCCCACCAGTGTGTGTCCGCATGTGTTTCTTCAGATTACTAAGACGACCAAACTGCTTGCCACACTCCTCACACCTGAACACTTTGACACCTTTGTCCTGCCTCCCGCTTTCCTCTCCAGACTCCTCACAGCTTTCTCCTTGCCAGGTGGAAACAGTGTCGGCAGAACCCCCTGCTGCTCCTCCTTCCCAGGTGAAAACGGTGTTGGCAGAGCCCCCTGCTGACCCTCCTTTCCAGGTGGAAATGTTGTCGTTAGAACCCCCTAATGATCCTCCTTCCCAGGTTGAAACGGTGTTGGCAGAACCCCCTGCTGATCCTCCATGCCTGGTGGATACGGTGTTGGCAGAACCCCCTGCTGATCCTCTCAGGACATCATCCATACCTTCTGTGCTGCCCGTTGTTGCCATGTCAACGAGAGCTGGATCGACCTCTGTAAAAAAAATGAAACAAGCGATCTATAAAACATGGTGAAATATGTATAGTTGAGTAGAAGTATAGTACATGTATAAACAAATGCATGTAAAGTATATTTATTCTGTAGCTGTATCTGTATAGCCGGTATAACTGCCCTTCGGCGTAACACACCAGCTTCGCAGGCACGCGGCGCGGAGGCAGCTAGCTATTTATTTAGTTACTAAAACAAGTAGTATAACTGAAACTGCCGAGACACCATAAAAGACGGGCAAATAGCTATAGGTGTCTTTATTGTATGTTGTTTCTGATGATAATTGCTATGCAGGGTTTTTGAGAGTTACATTGCAAAAGTAAAAGTGTACTGTCCCAATGCCTTCATATTTATTGGGTGATTTTATTAGCCTGGACTTAAATCAAGGATGAGACTAGACGTGAGAACTAGACGGGGCTCACGTAGGGGTTTACAGTATAGTCAGGGTTGTACCGTAGTCTTAGAATTACACTTTCCTAATCGACAACACCAGAATCCCTTCATAATAGTGAATATCCTTTTAAGTATGTGAAATTGCCCACTGGATTGCAGGTATATTTTTGCTAATTTTTAATGCGGCACACGACATACCCTTGTAACCCCTTACCGACCCTCACTCCCTGTTTACGTTGACAAATTCCAGGCGGCAGCTGCTAACTTCCATAAACAATACAATGATTTAAACGGACAATCCAGAAATTTCTCAGACAATTACACATCCACACTACGACTTTTCTTTGTCCAGCTCTCCTGAAAAAAAAAGTATTTGAAGCTCCTTAACTGAATTATAAACAGCACGGCCCGAATCACACGCACACTGGCCCAAACGTACGCCGCCACACAAATATTATGAACCGTTGTTTGCCAACTCTACAAACCTCTGAATACCAACTACATGCCGACTTTTCCTACCTGGAAGTTAGTTGATACACAGTCCGGGCCGAGTCGCCTGTTGAATCGCTGCAAAACTCCTCCAAAGACGGAAAACTGCTCAAGATGCCGCGTCCTTGCGGGACAGGAAGGCGCGATGCCGTGACCCGGAAGTACAACCCCGGCCAGAGGTCAAGTGTTCAAATTTCGCTACCTGATTACCCAACAAATGTATGGGAATTTCAAGCAACGGCTAGTACTAGTATAATTACCTTCGCCAAGAAGGTTATGTTTTCAGGGGCGTTCGTGTATGTGTGTGTGTGTGTGTGTGTGTGTGTGTGTGTGTGTGTGTGTGTCGTACAACGTACGTA